CATCAGTCCTGTCAGATGCAAATAATTTTTCTATGTATGATTTCCATATTTTTAAGATCGTTGATGGCTCCGAGGTAAGATTTCCATTGCTATCTTTTATGCTGTTGGGTGACTTATTGAATTTCCTCTTGTTTGTCATCGATTTTATTTTTTTGTGCATATTGTAACTGTCGTATTTTCGTTCGTATTATTCTATTTCCCTGCATTCGTTGGAAAACCATTTTTCTTTGGCTTCTCGAATTTTCGTTCTTATGGTTTTGTGGATCTGCTGGTATTTTTCTGCATTTTTATTCTTGAATTTACGTCTTTCATCCATCATATCCATTATCTCATCAGACATCCATTCTTTCTTCTTCCGTCGGTCACGCTTTAATAGAGTCGCGCATGTTGTTTGGATTGCTTCCCTCAATTTATCCCATCTCTCTATTATGTCCGACGTGTTCTCGTTAATGTCCTTTATTTTCTTTTCTAGTTGTTCTCGTAGTTTTATTTCGGTTTCTGGGTTATTGAGTTTTTAATATCGATTGTGTTTAAATTAGATCTTTTCTCGAGCCTTTTTACTCTCATGACCATTCTGCATACCAACAAATTGTGGTCCGTAGGAACATCGGCACCTGGGTACGTTTTTGATGATTTTATCATGTTTTATATCTTGTTGGTACTGCTATATAATCTATCTGATTCCTAATGATGTTGTCAGATGAGTCAGCTGGGGATTTCCATGTGTAAAGTCGACGTTTGGGGAGCTTGAAGAGTGTATTACTTAACAGCAGGTTATATTCCTGGCAGAAGCATATAAGTCTATCACCGCTATCGTTTCTCTCCCCTAGGCCGAAGTTTCCCACGATCTCATTCACCTTGCCTCTGCCAACCTTTGCATTGAAATCTCCCATCACTATTGTTACTTCATGTTTTTTTGTCATTTTCATCAGGCTTCCCAGTTGTTCGTAGAATTCTTCGCTGGTTGCCTTATCTTTATCTGCAGTTGGCGCGTATACCTGTAATATGTTAATATCCACCGGTGTTGCTCGAATTTAAAAAAGCATCATTCTATCTGAATGGGGAGTGAAAGATTTTACTGTCGAATTAATATGTGGGGCAACTACTATTGCAGTGCCGTTTCTATGATCTGTTGTGTTGTTTCCAGCATAGTAAACTTTATATCCAAGTATATCGCATTGTAGAGAGTTTTGCCAGTGTTTCACTAATTCCCAATATATCAATGTTTAATCTTTTCATCTCTTTTACAATGTTATGAGTTTTGCCGCTCTCGTACATACTTCGTACATTCAAAGTTCCAATCCTTAGGTGTTGAGGACTTGCTTCCTTTTTTAGGCCGTAGGGATTTCGCTGGCTGACGACCAGGGAGGATCACCATGATCAGTAATGTTTTTGTTATCGTAGTGTATTGCCATGATAACTATTCTAGGAAATTCTTATGAGGTGGTTTTCCGTTGCCTTCCCCATCGCAGTACCACAACCATTCAAACTGCTCCATTCATGCATGTGGTAGTCCAGTTTCAAGCCGATCCAGGATTATTTCATTTGCGCCTGGAGCTGGTACTGATGATCGCTGCTGCCCTTCATCAGGGTATCACTCGGTAATCACTCGGTGAAATTTTCGCCATATCTGGCTACCCTCACTTAGTTTAGCCTGCAGACCAATGCAGTTGCCCGGGGTGTGGCACGTGAAGCCATAAGTGAGAGTTAGGTGTCTTATGAGGACCAGTTATCTAGAACCATCTCCCGTCTATGACGCTCGATGTGGTCGTTCCAAAAGGTACTACCTCTATAACACAACCCTACACCCCTAGGTGTTGAAAACGAAGTACCTATCTATAAGTGAACAAGACAAAGATCTACAGATTGTCGATAACGTAATAATCAAAGGAAAGGATAAATTCAAATACTTGTGGTTTATAATCACGAAAAATACAACAACAGAGAAAGAAATTAAGCAAAGACTAGGAAAACAAAAACAGCAATCCGGCAACTTAACTAAGTATGGTGGAATAGACACCTAAATATGAAGACAAAAACACAGATTTATAAAACATTAGTGCGAAATATTATGACATATGGAGCTAAAAATCGATTATAAACAAGAAAAACAGCAGTAAGATAGTAGCAACAGTGATGGAATGCCTGCGAAGATGCTGAGCAGTAACAAGAATTGATAGGAGAAGTAATGATAAAATAAAGCAAAGAACATCAATAGAAACAGACATACTAACACATATAGAACAAAAAAATCTAAAGTGGTATGGGCATGTAAGAAGAACTAGCGACAGCAGATGGATCAAGAGAATAACCGAATGGTGCGTCATGGGAAGGAGAAAAAGAGAACGACCCCTAAGATCCCCGAAGAGGAAGGAAGTAAATGACACCATGAGTAAGAGAGGCTTAAACGATGGAGAATAGGACTACAGAGAGGGCTGATGGAAACGGTTGGGAGGGTAAATGCAGTGAATACTGTAGAATCGCTGAATATATATATATATATATATATATATATATATATATATATATATATATATACATATATATATATATATATATATATATATATATATATATATATATATATATATATATATATTATATCCTTATTATCCTTATCCTCACGCGAAATCAATTTTTTTGTACATTTGTAAAAAAGTTTTTAACAATTAAAAAAAAATGACTTTGGTAAAACTACTTATGGCTATAATTAAGAAAAAAATTAACAAAGATAACTTTAAAACTATTATTTTAAAGGATTTTCTATGATTTTTCACTAAAATTATGTCAGTTTTTCGTATATCATAAATTATGTCACGTTTATCATCACTAAATTTATCACAAGCAGTTGTTAGATACCTGTATCAATGAGCGTCATGATCTGAGTGGTAGCGACTCGGAAGTTTTTGCGTGATACAATGATCTCAGATGATTTTTTTTTTCAGCATCCTTTTGCAAGGTATTTTGGCATGAATTATTAGTTTTAGCACTTTCTATGAACAGCCATTTCAAAGAAGATCAAGAATCAAGGTTCCGAACTAATGCCAGAGATAAAGCTAGATGAGATTTGACAAGCATTAAGAAAAATGAAAAATAACAAAGCCCCAGGAGAGGATGGAATCGTAATAGAAGCTATCGTAAATGGAGGAGATATGCTATTAAATAAATTAAGGAAACTATTCAATCTATGTTTGCAGCAAAGAGAGGTGCCCAAAGAGTGGAACAATGCTACAACCATCCTTTTGCATAAAAAAGGAGATAGAACGGACCTAGAAAATTATAGACCTATTAGCCTGTTGAACCACATATACAAGCTCTTCACTAGGGTAGTGACATCAAGATTGGAGAAAAAATTAGATTTCTACCAACCGAGAGAGCAGGCAGGATTCCGCTCAAATTATGGTACCAATGATCACCTCCACACAGTAAAAACACTCATTGAAAAATCTATAGAATATAACAAACCTCTTGTTCTCACTTTCATAGATTTTCATAAAGCGTTCGACACGATCGAATTAGACAGCCTTATAGAAGCAATGAATGACAGCAGGATTGACCATAGGTATAGTGAGCTTATTTATAATATTTACAAAAATGCCACTATGACTGTTAAAATAGACAATAAAACCCGACCAATAAAAATAAATCTTGGAATAAGGCAAGGAGATACATTGTCGCCGAAATTATTCATAACGGCATTAGAATATGCCTTTAAGATGATCAATTGGGACCACAGAGGAGTAACGATAGACGGCGAAAAGCTTAACCATCTCCGTTTCGCAGATGACATTGTCCTTATCACAGATAATTTAGGAGAAGCTACAGATATGATAAACGAATTTCATTTTGCATGTTCGAAGGTGGGCCTGAGAATGAACTTGACCAAAACTAAGTTTATGACAAATTTGGCCCCCAATAACCATTTGACTATTCAAGACAAAGTGGTAGAACTGGTGGAGAAATATACGTATTTGGGTCATGAAATAAGAATCATCAGGGATAACCAAACATGCGAGATCCAAAGACGAATTACTCTAACATGGGCAGCCTTTGGAAAACTGCGAGACACACTTAGGGCCAACATACCAATCAGCCTCAAAAGAAAAGTGTTTGACCAATGCGTATTACCGGTCATGACCTATGGGGCGGAAACTATGACTTTAACCAAGACCACGGCTTCGAAACTGAGAGTGACACAGAGACGAATGGAACGGTCTATGCTGGGAGTGACGTTGAGGGACCGAATAAGAAACGAAGATCTGCGAAGAAGGACGAGTATTACTGATGTTGTGAAACGCATAGCGGAACTAAAATGGAACTGGGCAGGCCATGTAACGAGAATGCACGATTCACGATGGATGAGCAAAATTACAAATTGGAGGCCAAGAGCAGACAAACGCAGTAGAGGAAGACCACCTACACGTTGGGCCGACGACATCAGGCGTATCACTAAAAATAGGCAACAAAGAGCACAAAATCGTGAGGAATGGAGGTGTTTAAGGGAGGCCTATGTCCAGCAGTGGACGTGATAAATAGAGGCTGGATGATGATGATGATGATGATGAGCACTTTCTATACGTTCAACATTTCATAATACGTTACCTAAATATTATTGTTTGAGTTTTTGAACTGTTAACTCACTAATTCAGTAATCACGCTTCAAAATAGTCTTTTTAATATAACTTCATCAAAACCTGAGCAAAAACGAAGACAATGATCTCAAACAATAACCATATGGTATAGCAGTATCAGGAAAGTGGAAGCCAAAAAATGGTAAACTAATATAGAAGAAGAAAAACACCTATTACAAGATTATTTTGAAAATTACAAATTGTATTTAGTATAGTAATCAAAAATCTCTGACACCATTTAGGGTCTATTTTTGGCAGTAAAAAATAACATAAACTTATAATAAAATAAACGCTTTGCTTGTATAATGTTAAGTATAAATGTATTTAACCTTATTAATTAATTTTATACCAATATAGTATTATTTTTAGAAAATCGAAGCAAAACTGGTTGATTGCTACGCTAACAACGAAACATGCTACGTCATTGATTGTAATACCAATTTAAACGATCTTCCTGATCTAGTATTTTCTTTTGGAGGCAAACAGTTTAACATGCCTGCTAAAACATATATAATAAAAGTAAGTATTGAATCACGTTTGACATTTTTAATCTTAAAATTCAAATTTAAAATAAAGAGCTAACAAATATGCTTTTTTATTTTATAGGAGAATGGTTTGTGCATACCCACTTTCGAAAAGCAGTGGGAGGATTATTGGCTGGTAGGAGACACGTTTCTGAGAACAGTGTACACCGAATTCGATTTCGAGCAAAAGCGGATTGGATTCGCAAAAATTGCAGATGTAAATTTATAAACAATTAATAATAAATCATATTTTTTAAGAATTTGCTTATTTATATGTAAACATTTCCATCTATTTAAAAACTCTCGTTGAAATGAGTCTTGGAAACTGAAAACTGAAAATTATTGTATTAAAAAGATATGGAAATTGAATATATTATCGTAAAAAGGTAGACAAAATCCACCTTACAGAAACCTAGACAACTGATGATTAAAAAAAAATCCTATCATACTTCACAGATGTAAACAAAAAAGTACCCGACCAGTCAAACAGCAGTTTTTTAAATGTTGCTTATCCTAAATCCTTATTTGTTGCTATGAAAATGGCAAAATAAGTCAGAAATTTCGGTTTTTTATAAATTTTAATAACTTTCTTAAAAATAACCCTAGAATACTCATATTACACGAAATATTGGTTCCTCCGGAACAGATAATATACATTATATTATGTTGGCAAATTTACATCAAAAAGGAAAAGAAACACTATTAATTTTTTTAATCAAATATGGTAATCAGAAGATATTCCAGATAGTTGGAGAGAGTACCGGGTGATTCCCATACTTAAAGCAAATCGAAATTTTGATTTGGCAGAATCTTATTGAGGTATTTCATTAAGCTCCTGCTTAACAAAAACACTGGAAAGAATGATAAAACTGAGGCTCGAAAGATGGTTAGAAAAAAATAATAAACTATCACAAACACAATTTGGATTTCGTAAAAATCATTCTACTGTGGAAGCAGTGAGCCACTTGGTAACAGATATAAATTTAGCGTTTAAGTCAAATTCTTCAGTAACAGCTCTTTTATTAAATGTTAAATCAGCATACGACAACGTTAATTTAAGTATACTTCTTCTTCTTCTTTACTGTATTCAAACCATTCCCTTAAGTTCTTAAGCCAGGATATTCTTCGTCTTCCCACATTTTGCTTTCCTCGGATTTTGCCCTGCATACTAAGTTGCAATATTGCGTATTTTTGCCCTCTTATCACATGTTCCAAGTACACAAGTTTTCGTCTTTTAATAGTTAATATTATATCCGCCTCATTTCCTATCCTTCTAGTTACTTCTATGTTTGACATTCTTTGAATCCATGATATTCGTAGGATTCTTCTGTAACACCAAAATTCAAAGGCGGCCAACTTATTCAGATGAACTTGTTTTAGTGTCCAAGCTTCCAGACCATAAAGAAGAGTAGAGAACACGTAACATCGAAGCATTCTCAGGCGTAGTTCTAACCTTATATCCCGACAACAAAGAAACTTTTTAAGTTTAATAAATGATGTACGTGCTATTTCAATACGTGTCTTAATTTCTTTGGTTTGGTCTACATCTGATATTATCAATGTTCCTAAGTATTTATAGTTATTAACACTCTCAATTGCAGTATCTTCAATAGTCAATTGGATATTTGCATGTGCAGATTTAGTCATGATCATGCATTTAGTTTTCTTTAAATTTATCTTCAGTCCGTACTCATGACAGCGTTCATTAAGGCGTTGCATTACGTTCTGTAAATCATTGTTGTTATCCGTAATTATTACTGTATCGTCTGCAAAACGTTAAGTTATTCAAAACTTCTCCATTGATAGATATACCTTCTATTGATTCTGAGAGCGCTTCTTGAAATACCGCTTCACTGTAGACATTCACAAGTAGTGGGGACAGCACGCAACCCTGGCGGACTCCTCTCTGTATTTTGATATTTTCGGTGTACTGGCTGTCAACTCTTACCTTGGCAGTTTGATTCCAATAGAAATTAGATATAATTTTCAGATCACGACTGTCAATATTTTTGCTTTTTAATATATCTACCAGCTTTTTATGTTAAACTTTATCAAATGCCTTTTCAAAATCTACAAAACATAAGTACATATCCTGATTCATGTCCATGCATCTCTGAGCCAGCACATTCAAGTCGAACAAAGCATGTCTTGTACTCATACCATTTCTAAAGCCAAATTGTGTATCACTAATCTCATATTCAAGAGTTTTAACAATTCTGCTGTGAATTATTTTCAAAAATGTTTAAGTGTGTGACTCATTAAAGCTATTGTTCTATGGTCTGAGCAAGTTGTTGAACTTGGTTTTTTGGGAATTGCTACAAAGGTTTATTGCAGCCATTGTCTGGGGATTGTGGCAGTCTGATATATTAGATTAAAGAGTTCAACCATTACATCAATAACATCTTCATCGATGAGTTTTAATAATTCGATGGGTACCTCATCTGGTCCAGTAGCTTTACCCTCTTTTGTGTTTTTGATGGCATAGATGACTTCTTCTCTTAATATTGGTGGTCCAGTATCCTCGGTGATTTCTAATGACAGTTCTTCTCTTTCATCATTAAATAGTTGTTGAATGTAATTAGTCCAGTGACATAATCTCTCCTTCATATCAGTAATAATATCCCCTTTATAATTTTTAAGGATATCCGTTTTTATACTCTTTCTAGAACCTGTCATTTCTTTGATTTTTGTGTGTAAATTAAAGCTATCGTACTTTTTATCCAGATCTTCTATTTCCTTGCATCTATCGGAGAGCCACCTCTCTTTTGCCTCTCAAATTTTCTTTCTGATGTTTCTCTGAATTTCTTTGTATTTATTCAGGTCTTTTGCTTTGTTTTCTTCGTTCTTCCATGAGTTCAAGAATTTCTACTGTCATCCAACGTTTTGTTTTTTCTTTAAGTGGTTTGAGGGTTTCTTTTCCAACTGATACAAGGACATGTTGAATTTTTCCCCATTTTTGGTCAATAGTTAGAGTTTCTGCATTATCTTCTTTGACTTTCCTTAAGCTCTCGTTTATTTTAAATTTGGTTTCCACATATGTGTTGTCTTGTTTGAGATGTCTTGTATCTATGATTTTCTTGGTGCCAGGACTGTTGACCTTCTTTAGTTTCACTCTCATCGACAAAACAACCGGGTTGTGGTCGGAGGATATGTCCGCTCCTGGATAAGTTTTAGATGATATTATAGAATATCATCTAAAACTTAAGATTTAAGTATACTATACAACAAAATGACACAAATAGGTCTTCCCGAATGTTTCTGTCAAAAAATAATAAAACTATATGACTAGAAAAATTTATATATCGGTAAATGGTAACACAATTGGTCCAAGGCTAGCGATAGATGGTTTACCTCAAGGAGGAATCTTAAGCCCATTGTTATATTTAATTTATACTGCTGATCTAGTAAAAATTTAAACTCCACAAGAATTTTACAATTTGCAGATGATATAGTCATTTATCAAGAACACATTAAAATAGAAAATGCAGTCAAATCCATTGAACAAGGAGTCAATCATATTAAAACATGGAGTGAATTACATGGACTAAATATCTCTGATTCGAAAAACTACATCTTAATAAACAATGTATCCTATCCAGTGCAAAGTTATGTTAAATATTTGGGCATTACTATTGATAGACAGCTTTTCTGGAAAGAACATATAGACAATATAGTTAAAAAAATATAAAAGGGAATACATCTATTTCGACTCGTGTCACACTTACGATGGGGAGCAGATCCAAATATTTCTTTGTTATTATTTAAAAATAATATAAGAGCTATAATCGACTATGGATCAATATTATACAGTGACGCATCAGTAGATAGGGCTGCACTTGAGGACACTTTTCATCCCCAGAGTACGTGACCGCGACGTGAAGGTAGCGTCAATTCTTCTTCTTTTTCGTGACGTCAATTCTTCTTCTTTTTCGTGACGTCAATTCTTCTTCTTTTACGTGACGTCAATTCTTCTTCTTTTCGCAACGTGAATATAGCGTATAGGCTTCTTTTACGTGATGGCAATTCTTCTTCTTCTTTTACGTTAATATAGCGTCTGTCAATTACAAAACCTACGCAATTGGAGGAAACTGGGGGAAGTCTATGTTCAAAATCAAAGAAAATAATAAAAATACAAGGAAAACTAGCAAGAAAACAACAACAAAGACCAAGAAACGAATACATAAAGTATAAAAATACAAGTTATAAGCAATTATATTAAGAAAGAAAGAGACCAAGAAACGAATACATAAAGTATAAAAATAAGCCAATATATTAAGAAAGAGACCAAGAAACGAATACATAAAGTATAAAAATACAAGTTATAAGCAATTATATTAAGAAAGAAAGAGACCAAGAAACGAATACATAAAGTATAAAAATAAGCCAATATATTAAGAAAGAGACCAAGAAACGAATACATAAAGTATAAAAATACAAGTTATAAGCAATTATATTAAGAAAGAAAGAGACCAAGAAACGAATACATAAAGTATAAAAATAAAATAAGCAATTATATTAAGAAAGAGACCAAGAAAGGAATATATAAAGTATAAAAAATACAAGTTATAAGCCCTTATATTAAGAAAGAGACCAAGAAACGAATACATAAAGTATAAAAAATAAAATAAAAAATACAAGTTATAAGCCATTATATTAAAATGCAAAATGTTGCAATAACAGGTAAAATTAATCATACCTGATAGGTGCAATCTCTCCAAAAATGAGAAAAATATAACATACTATGGAATGCAAATACTATATAGATATTTTCTCATTTTTCTCAGAGTATCATCATCATCAATTAGACGCATTATAAAAAAAAAGGTGGCAAAACCGCAAACATAAGCAGCATGATATATAAATAGGGAACAATATTATTAATTTGAATAGTTGCTAACAATGAAACCAATTAAATCTATAGTGTTTTTGGCAGGTGAGAAAGGACCATTCAGTCATATCTTCAATTTTTAAATTTAGATTTTTTAGTTTTACAGGTGATGGCTAACTTTATGTTAGCTATGCAGCTAATACTAACACGTAAGTAAATAGTAAAAACAGAAACTATAATACGTATATCAATATTTTTTTTTCAGAGGAACAAGGCATATATTGTAAGTATTAGCTATAAGCAGTCTTAATATAACCTACTTATATATATTCATTTTTAGATGAACACCTAAGTGAGTTTACTCTAATAATGTAGATCATTTATTAAGAAAATCATTACTTTTTTCAGTGAACAAGGGTGAGATAAGGCCCG